CCCGCCAAACACACCTATATCAAAAAGCAGAATCTATATTCCCATGTACTAAAAAAGTAACTTTACAGTTTTTGGTGTATCTCCTTACTTTTCTCATTGCATTGATCAATCACATTGATATTTACAGAAAAATATATGGCTACTAACACAAAAAAAAAAAAACACCCAAAAAAAAAACCCAAAAAAAACCCCAAAAAACTAGAGATGAGAGCATTTGAACTTGATTATGATACGACTAATGTTAAAATTATTTGCTTTGGCCTAGATGTGGTCTTAAGATTTTAACAAAATAAATTAATGTTGTATTAAGAACAGCCTTCTCCTCATTAATATTTGATTAATATTAATCTGTTTTTTTCAACCATTCAGTAGCGTAACATAAAGGAACAGCTACCAGCCTTCCCATTACACATTGCCTCATCACATTTAAAGATGAAATGCTTTACATAAGAGTCAGAGCTCTGTATCAATGCTTAAGCCGTCAGGCTGAACAATCTGAAGAGGTTTGTTGGTTCTCTGTGGACGGTCTTTGAATAACGTTTTGCTCAATGAGAGTAGCATTCAAGGTGCCTTGCAGATGCTGTATTCAACCACTGGTGATATATCACAACAACTTGGTGATATTTGTGAGTTTTACCCAAGTTTTACACAGGGAAGAAATTTTTGCCACAGGCAGGAAAGCAATCTGCGTTCCTTTAGGACTCAGCAGAATAGCTTCAGTGAAGAGCCAGTCTCGACTCCTAGACCTGGTAACCTGGACTCCTCAAAAGCAAGTCTTTTCTTTTAGCCATCTCTGTGAGTCTCAAGATTCTAAGTATCCCCTTTACTGTTCAACACTGTTAAATAGGAACTGGGCTTTTAATTAAATAAAAAAATAGAGACCAAAAGAATATTAATTATTGCAAAAGCACACAAAAATGTTTGAAGTAGCTGTAGTTTTCCCTGTCATGGTAACTGTTTGGTAGTACTTAGAAATGGTAACAATGTATTAAGTGATGGTGCTAGCCAATTAATTTTTTTGTTTTAATTTGCAGCAAAATGAAAGCATGCAAAGATCATGTAAATCACTTTATCTCCTTAACCACTATTACTCTGGCTAGTTGAACTTGCCAGGGACAAATCCTTTTATATTTGTTAAATTTGTTCACAAAACGTTTGTCATGCCTTTCTTCAATCCCCTGTTCCTGGGACAAAAGAAAGAAACAAAGAATACTTTGCTAAGGTGTCATATCCAGTGATGTGGTTTTTTTCTTTTTTTTTCCCTTTAATAACTGTTTTTAAAAATCACTGTCTCTCTCTTGCTCTTAATTATGAAAACAGCATGGTTTCCATCTGACTAAGCCCCATCAGTGGGTAACAACACCTAGAACCAGCAGGTCACAGGCAGATTGCTGAGCTCAGAAGAAAGAGGCTGAATAAATGGCTCAGCTTTCCTTCAGAGTTTCTTCCACCTCTTAGCAGTAAAGATGTGCTGCTGCTTCTTCCATGGTAATACAGGAAGCATCATTTTTTGCTTAACTGGTATGGCGCAGTGAATCTTGTACCTTTCAGTGTATTCCAGGATTGCCATATTTTCACAGACTCGAGCTTTCTTAGGAGAGACAAAGCTCAGCTAAGCCTAGACCTGTTTTTTCATGCAGAGCAAATTTATGTGAAACTTGATTCCCTACCACTGGCACCACATAAATGCTAGAATATTTAAAATATATTCTAAATTTAAATAAATTCTAAATTCCTTTCTATAGACCAGTGACAGGTTTACCAATTAAGGGTAAATTCTTATTTATTTGCATCACATGCTTTTATAAGGAGAAGAAGAATCCCTTTAAATATTTTGAGACATACATTTAAAAAGGGATTTTTAAATTTACAGTATATTAAGAAACAGTACTAGTATTATTCAGGGCTTTCAGTTTTTCTCCTCCTCAAAATATGTTTATAAAGTGGTCTTCCTTCACTGTGCACTGTCTTTTTCTCACCATTTCCCATTTAAACAGAGATAATGGAGAGAAAAGCAAACTACATATATGTCTCTCACCTCCACCCGAAATACACATTTGATTTTGTAAAAGTACCCCCCCCCCCCAACAAGCAAATTTTGGGGCAAAAGAGTTCTCTTCACACACACTTATCTTTGCATGTTGTATGTAGCTCCAAGGCATCTCTTTGTCCATTTTTTTAGTGTGGAGAATCATCGATTACATTTGGCAAACACTGAATTCTACACAAATTGTAAATATTTTGAGCCTAGCAGGATTAATTAATGTGATTCTTATGCATTTTATACAGCAACAAAAATTCATGTTAGCTGTTTTGTTGTGTAAATTCAGCTAATCCACAGAAATACCTTTCCCCTTTTTAATGACTAGTGTGGCAGTTGTACTCATAAATAGAAGTTCAAAGCCATTCCTTCTGTCCTCAGGGCCATTTTTTTTGAGATGAAAAACAGGGTTACCCATTTAGAAAGAATGCAAAACAAGACTTTGTAGTATACATTTGTCTGTGACTTCCTGAGGCTTGTTATATATTTTCGGCTCATAGGCAAGAAAGGCAAGCATCAGGAGTATCATCAAATATTTATCTAACTAGCAAGGCACAAAGCTCTGCCTGTTTTGTCTTCCATGTTAACTCCAGAGTATAGCACAAAGCTAGAGACCTTTGTCCCTCTACTGTGCTTAAAGTTAATTCAGATCAAACCTCAAAAGCTTTTTATCCTCTTCATCATCATGATCATTTTTAAGACTAAATTTAAGACCGAATAGACTTAGACTTGAAATGGAAAACAGTAGTTCAGTTTGGAATATAGTTTCCACATATGGTAAGTATTGTCCAAAAAGAAACCTACTTATGTTAAACATGCATTTTGTTACTCATGCCCAGTTGGGTTTTTGGTATCTCCACAGATGGAGACTCCGCGGCCTCTCTGTTCCAGTGTTTGACCACCCCCACAACAAACACAACTGGAACATGGACATTCACAGTGAAATTCTGTTCGAAAGGACACAGGAATGGTTTTCTGTGCTACTTCAGTCCCACATGAAGGACTAACACAGCTGGAACACAGTCTCTTGGAAGTTCATTAGGAAGCTGGTTGTTGAAAGGGCTCTATTGTGTTTTACAGGATATCGAGATTCAAGTGGGTAATATAAATAAATTGCTATTTTATGACCTGAACTTGCACTAAGCTGTTTGAATTTGACTCATCTTTTTTGTCTGACCTTTAGAAATATCTAAATAATGGGAGATTAAGCTAGAAGAACCAGCAGGCTAGTTAAGCTGTTGCAATGATTACACTAAGTAGACATCTCTCTGCAGGGACATAACATAAGCTTTTAACACTGATGCAGTCATTACTTCTGCATTAAAGCATTTGATGTAGCCATGTATCAGTGAGCTGTTAAGAACAGAATGTGACTGGTTACATAGCTGCCTTCCAAAGCCATCCATTGCATTATCAAGATTGAAGAAGGTAAAAGATACTTACCATTATCATTGCCTTGTTTAATTTCCTCAGCGGTTCTATCAATTAAAACATACAATGACCAAACAACACAGGTAATTGCAATTACATGGAATGTGACTGAACAAACTATTTTCCTTCTCTCACTTGTCGTCATCTGTAGTTTCTCCCACTGTAATTTAGGGAAAAAAAAAAAGAAGAAAAAAAAAAGTAATTAAAAAAAAAATCAGACTTGTAAAATTTTACAATAAACTGATTAGGCCATTCTGGCTCTTTCTACCAAAAAACCAAGCAGTAATAAAGTTAACAAATCCTTTTATTTTGCTAATACACATTACAGTAGTATGTGCATTGTCACTGTGAAATTCATAATGATCTCATTTTCACAGATTCAGAGGAATGAAGAGTTCTGTTCTGTTTCTGTCTGCTTGCGAGTGACATCTAAAGTTATTGCAGTACAGCCACAACACGTTAATAGACAGGTAAAAAGCTCGATATTAATTTTCACTTTACCTGATGCACACTTCTGGTGATGAGAGAAGAAAAAACCCAAACATTAGCTTGTAAAACTTAAAAACTATTCTCACCTATTCTCAGCTGCTTAAAATTAAAGGAATGAAGTTGTGGAACAGTCTTCCTATAAAATAAAAGTGTAAGAAATACAACTGCATTGAGGATTAAATTCAATAAACTTGAAAAGATGAGTATGTGGAAATGATTGTACACAATAGCAGCCAAACAGCCTCAGTAATGCAAGAAAGGATCTTCCAGGCACATGCTTGTGAATTATGGCACTAAATCCTAGCTTAAGTTAAGATGAAGTAGGTTATTCTCTCCATTTGAACAATGCAACTCTTGAGGCGATTTTCTTTTAATCTCACTTGTGGAGACATCATTTTTTTCGGCACTTCTTTAAACTAAAACCCTTCTCTACTAAAATGCTCGCCTTTGAAAACAGATGAAAGATGAAAAGATGAAAAAAACATACGACATTTAAAAGCAAAAATGCCTCAATTCCGATGAGTAATCTCGGAGTCAGTCACTAGCATCCGATGAATGAAACGAGTGCAAACCACAATACAACAGTGCCACCCCTCTGCAGTCGTGCTAACGCAAGACCGAAGGGTGCTCCAGCATCCATGCCACAGCACTGGCCACCGCCACAGCAAAGCTGCTCCTCTGCTTACATGGCCCTTTGGCACACTGGGGCTGCAGCTCCTCAAAGTTTCCAGGTGCTAAGGCTGGATCAAAAAATTTATTTTGAAGGTATAAGTTCGGCTTTGTTTTCCTTGTTTGGTGTTTTTTTTGTTTTGTTTTGTTTGGGTTGGTGGTTTGTTTTTTTTTTTTTGTGGCTGGTTTTTTTTTTTTTTTTTGTGGCTGTTTTTTTTTTTAATTGTGGTTTGGTTTTGTGAAATAACAAATTTCCCTAAATTGCTTATGGCTAGCGTTAGAGATGGCATCTAAGCTAGACAGTTGGACTTTAACCGGAACCAACATGGCATTCTTCTAGTCTGAATACTATTTGCTGTCTGGTCACATTTCGAAGGAGCACAAGTGCAGTAAAAGCTGAGGAATGTCAATGCAATGTCACCAAGAAGGCTAACTCTCAGAAATGCTTCTTCCTGCCATTAATTTTAGAGTGGTACATACCAGGCCAAACAAATTTCATTCTTTAATGGCAGTTAACACTTGCATGTTTCAGAGCTGCTGCCTCAAAACACAGTCTCTGGAGCATTTTCTAGCCCTTGCAAGAATTTCACTAACACAAGGCTTAAATAACTGTTTAGAAGAACTGAAATATTTCCTGAGTAATATACAAAGAGACAGAGCTAGCAGTTTATTTACCAGCTGATACCTCATTTCAGTTCCTGACACATCTAGTTAGGAGTGAAAACTAAGCTTGCTGGGTTTTGTATGGCAGTCTGGAAAAATGGGAGGCATTAAAAAAGAAGTAATAAAACAAAAAACCTCAGAACCTTATATCAATTGTAGTTCATGTAGGTAGTATTCAGCAGTCAGACCAGACAGTCACTATTCTGAGTCACGAAATCAACAGACAAACACTGTAGTCAGACCAGACAGACTGTGGCATTACCATCACAGTCTTATCATATCATTACAGTCACCAGGTTACACAGCATTTGACCTGGAGACTTTCATCCTTTTTGCAGTGAAAATTCAATTCAAGCCTTGCAACAGGCTTTCTTTCCAAAGAAAAAGTTGTCTTTGTCCAGATGGAAGAAAGGATTTTACCTTAACCCTTCACTTACCTGTGGATGTTTTGTGAGAGATCAATGTTGAACATAAGGAAGAATGAATTGTGTTCTTAAAAAGAAATTTTCTGTCATCTCAACTCTGATGCTACACAGAAGATTCTGTGCTAAATTTTCATTGTCATGTGTACCTGCAGTCTCATTATAGCCATTTTACTCTCTGTAACATACAAAAACCTTACAGTGTTGATCTGAATGCCCAGTCAAATAAAGCTTTTTCATCTGGAATTTTAAAGTCAAAGAAGAATGCTGGCCCCATTACTCTAAATGTAAACATTTTGTAGGTGGAAAAAAAAAAAAAAGACAAAAACAAATGACCAACAGGCAGGATAGGCAAATAAAGGAACAAGCTCACAGATGTCTGCTGAGATTTACAAGAAAGGTATATCAGGAGAGGGAGCTAGCAGAAACACGCTAAAGTGGGCCTTTTTTTCTAACATCCCGTGATCAAACCCAGCCAGAAAACAAGCCAAGGCCTACTGGATTCTGCTTTCTCTCTCTGGCCCCTTTTCTTCTCCCACAAGACAGCATGCCTGTGTGTCTGTTCTACCCACACACGCATTACCACACCTGAAACAAGCTGGCTGGCAGCAGGCTGGGAGAGGCTACCAGGGCAGGGTGGTTGTGGAACTGGAAGACTACGGAGCCACCCCATACTCCCAGTTGGGATACAGGAAAGGAACATGGACCAAGGAGAGACTCCCGCTCACACAGACAGATGCAGGGGGATTTAGAATCATAGAATCATAGAATCATCTAGGTTGGAAAAGACCTTTAAGATCATCCAGTCCAACCATTAACCTACACTACCAAGCCCACTCTAGACTAATCAAGGGTAGACCAGACTAAACCATATCCCGAAGTGCCACATCAGAGTTCTTGGGAGAATTTTACAGCTCTTAGTGTCTCCCAAAGCTGCACTTCTGTTTTGCCCTGCCCTAGCTGCAGTCCCAGTTCTCCTCTCAACTCCAGTCATCATGGGCTGAGCTCAGAAGGGGGAATTCAATTAAACTTTGTGCTCTAATCGTGGTGATCCCTGTGGTAGCTGAGGTAATTTTCCTGTCCTACTCACATATTTTAGCTTGGCTGAACAGGGAGTACTATGTGACTACTGTCACTCTCTACTAGACAAGTGATGTTAGTAGGTAAGCCAGCAATTTAAGTTGCCCTGGAGCAGAAAACTGCAATTCACTATTTTAGGATTTTTGCAATAGGGTTAAATGTAAAATTTAACTGCTAATGTTAGCACAGACTTGCTTGGATAAAAGCACAGTTACGTGAAATAAAAATTGCTTGAAAGTCCATAGCAAAGGCTATGAGACAACAATATATTGAGCAGTGAAAGCATCGGCCCCTTTTACTTGTGCTTTATAATGCAGTCCTCAATATAGCTTAAAGTTGGGTGGGTAAGTTTGGCAGGTGCTACCATATCACACAGCACATTAATGCCTCGAACCACTGATAAATTCACCCCCGCTGTATTCTGAAGCTTCTGCAGTTCTCATGGCTCTCTACATTCATGATGGCAAGATAAAAATAAATTGCATCACTTTTTATTGTCTTCATCAGTGATGTAGAAAAATGTCCAACCACCAGGTTGATGACACTGTGACATGCCATGGGTAGAATATCAGATGCCACCAAGAACAGAAAAATAACACAAAACTAAGTGCCCAGATGCAATTTTCCTTGGAAACGTATATGTTAATACTCCTGAGATGCTCTAGAGACTGGAAGGACAGAAAGAAATGTAAGACTGCAACAGCCAGAGGAGACATTTATAATGACTTGCAAATTATTGAGTCACTAAATTGATAGACAAACACTGTAGTTTTTGCCCAGCCTCCTCCAAAGTGCCCCTTCACTGTTGTACATCCAATTGTCACCACCCACAGATTCCTTAATCCTGGCAGCAATACACACAAAGGCTGGAAATCATCACAGATGCAGATGGTTTCATGTCCTGCAACTGCAAGCAATCGCATAAATTATCATTTTGCTCCACAGAACAGGTGTGCTAAAACACTTCGTAACATCTAACAATCACAAGACCTTTTACACAAGTCACCAAACAAATCCACAATGCAACAACACGTATCCCGAGAAGAAAGCTTGAAATATCCCCAGCCCCCTTTTTATTTCCTGAATAAGCTTTCTGAACATTACACTTGCACTGTGCTCTGCAAACCACTGGAGGGTGGTAGGAGACTGTCTGCCTGCTTCAGAGGTTCCTACCAAGAAGCCGAAGTGTCAAAGGAAAGAAGCTGGATTGTAAATGTGATCAGAAACACTCCTCCCACCGCAACTACTACTTACAGCTACTTCTAAAACACGAGGTGCACCTCAGCCTGAATTCCTATGCTTTACTGCCAGAGAAGTTTGTAATAAACTTGAAAGTAGCAGCTGTAAAACTGTACCCTGTTCTAGGTTTCTACCTCACGTTTTGGTTTTATTTCTTAAAGACTACCTCGCTCTGAACCTTAAAGGGAACAGTTACTGATCTCATAACCTGCTCTTGCAATTACAAAATGTAGTCATGAGTCTCCTGGGGAAAGAAAAAAAAACTTTTAAAAAAGGGGAAAAAAATTAATAGCCTACTCACATGGAACATCTAAATCATATGTAGCCACCCACTTCCCTTTCCTGTAACACAGTCTGAGAAAATCCCTGATATTTATTTAAAGGACCAAAATTTGCCTCCCTGCATGTCACTTCTAATAAAAGCTTGGTTAATCAATATGCAAAAAATAAATATGGGTATTTTTTAATATCCTCTGAAAACAAGTTGTCTGCAGATGCTGCTTCATATCTTAGAGATCCCAATACAGCCTCTCCTCTTATAGACAGAAGTAAATCTGCAATTTTAATTCCCTCCCATAATTAAGCTTTCTGCAAAGTG